TACAATTTTATTAATCAATTTCGGGCTTGCGTTGTCACCCCCTTCGAAGGAACTATGCTTGATTAGTATACTAGCTTAAAACAAGCTGGAAACTGCTGTGTGTCAGCCGTACGTGAGCCAGCACCTTATCGTTACGATTACGTTAACGGCCGCAAACAAGCTGACATTGGACAAGGCTATGCGGTTTACTTTTGAGGGGATCAAGCTAATTTCTATAGTCTTTGTCGGTTCTGGAAACTCTGCGCTCAATAAATGTTGTAATTTTAGAAAAAGTTATCGAAAAAAAACACGAGCAATATGAATGGATGATCTCTCATGAAGTTGCCGTTAAAACAACAATTCTAATTAGTTGTGTGTAGAAGTGTAATGGACCCTTATTAAAGATGATGTCGTCAGTGAAAGCTACTGATGTAATATGGCCGCAACTAAAAGAACGGGATCCGATGCAACAATAACCACTGCACGATTTCAGAACTCGGCAGAAATTCGAAACCGGCCTTTTTAGACGCTCATTTTGTAGCTGTTTGCTCAGGACAAGGAAAATGTACGTGGGCAATCTAACATTTTGCTCCCGTTTTAGACAGAGCCGCGCACACTGCGCAAATATTTTTTGCCTCGAAATTTTGCCTTCGGGGAGCAACTGTTGTTCTAGCTGCGGCTCATCATATTTTGAATTTTTCATTATAAATTGTCTAATTGCCCATGTATAGTGTGCAGACACACTACAGAAAAGATTTCAGCGCAGGGTTCCCTTGGACGCTTGTATTGTTTACAAAATGACCGAAATCGAGCTTCGGAAGAATATTTTAGAACAGATTTCAAGTGCTTATCTCATTTGCGCTAAGTCAATTTGAATTGATTTTAGGGAACGTGATGAGACGAGCTATTGAATCGGCTGTGTTAAAATTATTTTGGTAAATACATTTGGAGATAATGATGTTCTGGCACAGATAGCAAAAAGAAAAAAGGAAATAATCAAATTAAAATATATAAACGCTTTTTAAATTGTGGGAAAATGCTGGCTGAAAATCAAGGGGTCTATAGAGTGAGATCGAACTTGGGCCGTTTTTATGGAGAAACGCAAGGCTGCAATCGAAATATCAAAGACTGGGGCAAATCTAACCGGCAGATGCGCCGTAGGCTTGAAAGCGAACTATGCGTTGGAGCACATTACGTTTTTTCCTAAACGTGACCATTTTTTCAAAATAAAAATGAGTAGGTAACTACACTAAGAGTAAGTGATTTGTATTTGTATAGATGAAATTACACTCACCTCTCGCCAGGAGTTATTGTCAAGAACAGAATGGACGAGTCTTCGGAGTTCATGTGCTTGTTGGAGTCCACCAGATCCAGTCTGTGCCTCTTTCAAAAGTTCGCCCATAAAAGCAGCCCGTTCTTGCTCTGCTAGTAAACATCGCGGGTTAGCTTGCACCCGAGAGATCGTGCAGCACCAAAACACTATCAGAACAGCCCCACAACGCAGGATCCACATTGTAGCGCCACTGCTACCGTACGTCATCAGTGTTTCGTCTCTTCCTATGAAAAGATACCGGTGAAACTCGTTGGCTACGTTGAAAGGTCCGCTCTGTTCGTGATACGTTCGGGCTAAAGGCAACTAATTCCATCGAGAAAGAAAAATTAAAGAGGGAAGCAATTGCGAGTCACTATTTACATTCACGTATATTCCAATTCAATACTGGTTCATCCAGCAACAAATGAAAATCATTGTTGCGTACGATCTATATATTATGGCTCTACCACTATCGTTAGTTTTTTCCGTTCTACTCTATCGGGGAGCCGACTTTAAATGTGTTTACGATATATTTCCGGCAAGACAGTTATTGTTTATTTCGCGTGCGTCCATAACACCATGTTTATGTAGTTTTTCAAAACTTCGAATAATCGCCACGCTTAAACGTATTACCTCGTTCGATATTCGGTGCATTTTTAATTATTTCGTATATAGGCTGAACTTATTTTTTTCTTTTTTAGATCTATGTCTTTGGCATCCTACCTGTCTTCAAAAATAAGAAGCAGAACAAATTTATGAAAAAAGTAGGTCTGCGGTTAAAGTAGCATCTACTTCAACTGTAAACCGACTTGTACGGTTATATCATAAATTTACAAAGAATACACGCTAGGTCCATCGTGAAACGGACGAATCAAATTAATACCAAATATTTTTCTACTCACTCTAAGCATTTGAAAGCAAATAACCATCACGTGGATTTTGAGTTGATCTTGAAAATGGCGAGGTTTGTCTAACACCTTTTGTATTTTTAGCTGCACTTCAATTTTTCCAGATATTCCCACCCCTGAGATATTGACACTAACCCTTTTCTGCGAGTCTGAAACCCATCTAGCTAAGTAGACTTTCGAACTTCAGACAAAACATTATTTTGTACCGTCATCTTGATAACTGATATTTGAAAAAGAGATTATACTTTGTAATATATTCGATTTATATAGCATTATAATGACGTCCTACGTACTCACGTTAGAAATTGAACGATAGTGGAATTCTATGGCGTGTATAACCAGAAAAAGTGCATATTCCAATAATTAGCTGCTTTATTATTTTGAGTTACTTTTTTTTTCTATAAAGTTATAGTTTTAAACCGTTAAAAAGACCGTTATTGACGCCAAATAGCCATATTACAATGATTTATGCCAAACTTTTAATAAAAGTTCAATAAATTGAAAGTTGAACATTTTTTAAGTTTCGACATTTTGAAATATTATCAAGATGCTCGATTCTTTCAGAGAACACAGATAAGATCCTACATGCGTCGGTATAGCATAGTTCCTTAGGATACATACAAAGCAGAAAATCGAATCTCTAAATAAGGTTTCTTTAATAAAAATACATTTTTGTATGCATTACCATTTCTATTTAGTCAAAGCATAAAAAAACGCCGTTAAACGCAGCCATTGCAGAAGTTCTGTCGCACAGACGTTTTAAGATGATTATAATCAAATTCTGTCCGAGTTCCTCTTTTTTGTAGGGGAAAAAAACGTTTGTTTAAATCCCAAAAGCGCTAGTATTTAGAAGAAAGTGGGTCGCAAACACAGCTTGCCGATAAATTATGCTCTTTTACTGCCTTCCACAAAGTTCAGCGTTCTACAGTTATTATATCTGTAACCTTGGCTACCTAATACGAATTACCGAGAATAAAGTAGCGAAAAGGACCAAAATTTCGCTCACTATATA